TTGTGGTAATAGCAATGCAATTATATAAGAAAATGTTCCTATATTTTGGGGAAACATACTGAGATAAATATGAGTGAATGACATGATATCTAATATTTGCTTTATAATATTTCTGGCTAAAGAAGAGAGAGAAAGAAAGAAATTGAAACAAAAGGACAAGAGTAGAGAAATCTATCTAATTTTATCACATACAGAGTTTTTATATTGTTCTCTCTACTTTTGTGTATCTCTGTCTTTTTTTTAGAACAAAAAACCTTTAGCATATATTTTATTATGTTCCTGCAGAACCCTCAGATTTTTTGCAATCTGTTTACCCCAGAATACAGAAGATTTACTGTGGACAGACATCCTTAAAATATGCACTTATGACATAAATACAATTTAATATATATTATTTTCTTAAATCTTCTTCAAACTCAGGGTCTACTCTTAAAGTCAATTTGTTCTTGTGCTATCAAATAAAAAACATGATTTGGCCATAATTATAAAAATGCAACTGTGTTTTACAATTGATTAACTGTTAAAAGAAAAATAATACATTCATTATTTCTGGGTAAATTATGAAGATATCTTTCCGAAGGGCCTTTGAATGAATCAAAAATCTCTGTGGGTTAAAACAAACAGAACTTTGAGACAAAGGTAAAATAATATATATCCTAGAATAATTAACATAATAGAGAGTTGACAGTATGTTTAAATTTATCTGAAATCCATTATCACAAATCACAGAGAAGAGAAATTGAGAAAGCTATAGCAGATCATGCCAATTTTGACACTGGAGGTGGAAGCCAAAGATCAAGATAGGAAATAAGAACTATCAGAAGATGCTGAACAAAGTGTATTACCCAGAGTTTTCTGCTCTGAATGTCTAAGAGGCCGTAGTAAGGCAATGAATACAGGGAGTAAATCATTGCGGTGAAGGTGGTAGAGAACTTGGTTGGCTAGGATATGACTGTGGATGAAAGTAAAAGAAAAAAATTAAAATTAGATTTTTTATTCCCACTTCCCACTTTTTCTCTGGAAACATTTTTTAAAAATATGTCTATTTCAGGAAGTTTGAATTTGAAGCAAAGGAAAATATGAATTGCATTTTCTAGACATAGCATTTCCACAAATACAAGCTCCCTGGTTATACAGAACTGCATCCCTGAAAGGCACAGTTGGTGCCCACTGAATTGTCATGCTTCCTTCTTAACCCTTGTCCTCCTAGGGCTTTGAGTAAGGAGCCCTTGGGTGTTAAGATGGAAACATGAATAGAAGAATTGAATGGTTTCTATGTATCTATAATAGATGCTCTTTCATTCAGAAATCTAATAATATTTAGTCTCTGAAAAATACGTAAGGAAACAAAAATGACTTTAACTAAGTATAGAAATTGAAGACTCATAAAATGACAGGTTTGAAGTAGATGTCTCCAATTTCTACAGTCTATGTCTGGTTGTGCTGCATGGGAGAGTGCTAGGTAGGGGTGGGCATAAAGAGGGTGTTGGAAGAGGGAACATTGAAGTAGGATCCATATATTTTAGAATGCGGGACCACACCATTAATCACTTCTTATTTTTCATCCAGTTGTGTTAGTGTCTATGGGTATTTGCTTCTATGTATATGTTCAGTACAATTCCTTAAGCCATTTGCTATTTTGTTTGCTTTGCTACATTTAAAAAAAATTCTTTCCCTCATTTCCTGAAACATAGATTTGAACAGACATGAAACCATAATAAATTTTCATCTGGATTTTTCTAACATAAAGATACTTTAATACGCTAATTTTCATAGCGTGTTTGTTATTGTTGTTGTTTTGAAACGGGCTTTGCTCTGTCACCCAGACTGTAGCGCAGTGGCAGGGTATAGCCCAATGCAGTCTCCCACTCCTGGGCTAAAGTAATCCTCCTGCCTCACCCTCCCCAGTAGCTGGGGCTACAGTAATATTCAGTTTTATTTTCTTGCTTTTAAGAAGTTCTATTTCCCTCATTATATAACACTGCCTTTCATTACATTCTTTTTAATGATAAAGTTATAAAGCTTTCACTTTGGTTCAGAAAATCACAGCTCTACTGAAAGCAATCTAAACCACATTACCTCTTTAAAACTAATTTACCTTTTAACATTAGAGACCAGTGGGAGACCAAATGCCAAAATAATTTCTTCCTTTTCTGGAAAGAAGTCAGTGGCATGCCTTCCTGTTATGTACTCAGGATGGTAAAAGATTGCTAATATAGTGTTCTGGAGTGATTTTTAGATCAGGCGCAAACAGTTAGGTTTTTGAGAGACTCAATCTATAAAGCACATAGTAATACAACATTAATTATTTTAGTTACTTTGTATCTTTCTTCTTCAACTTTGTTAGTTGTGTACATAGAGATTTTTACCTCTGGATAAAATCAAATGTAGCATGTGTTCTCAGGATTTTACTATCAGTCTGTACTATGAGGACAATGTAGTCAATGGAATTTTGGAAACCCTCATGAATTTATCCGGTATACAGTAGCTTAAGCAATGACCTTTACTCAAAATTTTAGAAAATGAGAATCCTACTGATTATACAATCTCAGATTTGTTCTTTATCCTAACTCTATTCATTTAATCAGGTTGTTCATTATCAATTGGCTTACGCTATAAAAGAAAATCTTGGAGAATCTTAAGTAAAAGTTGATTTTCTGCCTGATTAATGTGGGCTATGTCCTGTTTTGGTTTTTAGGAAACAAAATGTTTTAAAATTATTTCATGTTTAATTCTATTTTTCAAAATAAAACAAAAAGTTATTATATTTGGCTTAGGTCATGTTTTTAACATTTTAACAATGGAATTTGGCCTTAGAAGTAATCTTCTGAATGAATGATTCTTGTCCCTAATTTCTCTAATAAATAATATTACATGTCTTCAACATTTTCTAAAAATACAACCTACTTCAGCATTTTGCTTTTACATTTTCTCTCTCTTTTTAAAATACATTTCCTTTAAATAATCGTTTCACTCTTTTGGTATGTTCTATTTGACACAAATCTTTTATTTCTTCCTTTGTATTCATTTGTTAAGTGACTATGATTATTGCTGCTAGTATTTTAATTCATTTTATCTAAAAGTTCCTATGGAGTCACATAGGACCCATATTACATTCTGTGAACAGAAATGAATGAACCTATCATGTGCATTTATTCAATTCAATATTTTAAAAATTATTGAGGACATCTAAGTGTTAACATCTCTGATGAATATCAATTCAATGAGACCAGAAAACCATCATAGAAAAACTCTTTGGGAATGAGGGAGCAAATAAAAAAATTTATCTTTTCTTCATCTATAGTTATTTAGAACAAAGTTCTGTTCTAGTGTCTTATGTTTTATTTGAACTATATTAAGGTAATTAGAAATGATATTTAACATTTTTTAACTACCAGATTTTTCTTGAGAAGCTTCTATCTAATCTAATTATGGCCTCCAGAAATAACTCAAGCACATTCTGTGTTAAATTTGAATATGAAAAAAAATGATGGAAAGAAGAGCCACTGCAAACAGCTTAAAAGCCCCAAAAAAGTACATCAGAAGGAGTAATTCTCTTCTGATTCTTTAATAAGTTTTTCTAGTTTAGTGTTTTATTTTTTAAGGAGGGCTCTCATACGTCTGCTGTTGCTAGACACTCAATCTGTGATATGTTGACCTTCACTCTATTGCAAAGGCCAAATGTCATAATCTTTCAATAGATAACAATATTTTGAAACTGATAATTTGAGAACCAACCAATTGATACTTAGTTTTATTAATAGAATAAAGTTGTACTAAGTTCTGACTGTATTTATAGATCTATATTAGGGATCTTATAATACATCTTATGAATAGCCAATGGCTTTTGCCTGAAAAGTAGTGGTTCATTTGAGAAGAAAAAGTGTTATTTGTATGGAATGTAACACAAAGCAAAGTCAATAATAATAATAAGGAAGCTCAGTTTTTAGGTACAGGGTGGACAAGTTCTATTTTGTATCTGAATCATTAGGCAAGTGGTGCGCTTGAATTGTATCTGTAAGAAGAGCTAAGCTTTGTACAGGTGAAGTGAAGAATATTTTAGGGTGAAAAATAGTATGTGTAAGGGCAGGGTGATAACAATGTGGGCGACAGGTTAGGAAGGCTGTTTGAGTTAGTATCCTAGGATGTAAGTGCACGTATAGGGGAAGATAGGAGTGTAGTGTAACATTGGAAAGAAGTGGTGGCTGACTGGAAGCCAGGAAGGTAGGTGGACCTTGGACTTTATTCTGCAGATAGTGCTGAACCTCTAAGGGCTTTATAGCTACAAATCAAGAGAGCTCAGTGAGGAAAGTATTCAGTAATCCAAGCATAATGGATACAAGCCAAAAATAGCATGGTGGAGTGGAAAAGATAAAAATTCTAAACTCTGGTTTTAAATTTTCAGTTCAAGAGAAAGCAGAGACCTACCTTATGAGCTTTGTCAGCTGTTTTTAAAGGTTGTGTTCCTCTCTTCTTTTTGCCAGTCTGTTTGTATTCTGACCTGACATTCTGATAACGAATGTATTTTGGGATTCTTCTCTATGCCTTTCATCCTATTACAAAGGATTGACCCAGTGATGTTTGTGAATTCTGTAGAACTCTTAGCAAATCTGAGGACAAAGAACCTAGCTCAGATGATAAAAACAGATCTATCTCTATGTGGCAAAATATTTCATTTTTAGTGGTCTTTGAACCTATTGGGATACCCATATTATAATTTATCTCCAAAAGGTTAGAAGTTCAAGGGGTCTAGAGTGAGAGAACCTGTGTTTAATCTCAGATTTACCTTATATTATGGGTGACTTTAGATAATTTATTTTAATTATTTAAGCCAGATTATGTATCTCTAAAACTGGCATGATAAAAATATATTGTGAAGACTGAATGAGATACTGAATGAGATACATAGAGAACTTTACATGGTGCCATGTACATCTTAATTAATAATTATCAGCAATTATTACCTTTCAAAGAAGCTTTTTGTTTGCTATTATGTAGTTATTTTGCTTTGCATGTAAATGCAACTATAATTCATGATGATTATATAATTATTGATAACCATATTCAGTTTGTTTCTGAATTATTTTTAAGTAGGCATTTTAGTTACCACAGTAGCAAGTAACTTCTCAAAATCACCTTATTTTGAATTAATATTGATGGATTATGTACTGATATTAATTAATTCAAATTAACAATGGAATAAGGATGGATATTATTTGATTACATTCAGGAAACATTCATTAAAAGTATGTATTATGTTAAGCATGTATGTCATGGTCTCTGACCTCAAGGAGTTTGCAGGTGACCAAACAGACACACACATAAATAATAATATAGCACAGTGTAATGAGTTCACTAGTCAACATAGGCATAAGGCACAGGATTAGCACAACTAAGTATCTTAGAGAACAGAAATGACTTTGCAAAGGAAGTGAATCTGAACTATGCTTTTGAGCTATCCATCTATTGAATCTCGAAATTATATTTCTTCTATAGGGTATTGTGAGGTGAGAGTTGAAGAGGAAGAACAATTGTAAAGCATAATTTTCCAGGCAGTATGATACATTCAGAACACTCTATTTGCAAAGTGCTGAAGCATAAATCTGTAGGCAGGGCAATAAAAAGAATAACCCTTCAAGATGAGAAGCAAGATCTAGACCAGTGCTCTCCAATAGAAATAAAATGCTAGTCACACATGCAACTATAAATTTTCTAGTAGCTAGATTTAAAAAAAGGGAAATGGAAAAATTTAAATTAATTTTTATATTTTATTTAACTCAGTATATCAAAAATACTACCATTTCAACATGCAACTCATATAAATAATATTGATGAGATATTTTAATCTTTTTTTTTCACATTTAGTCTCCAAAATCCAGTTTGTATGTTACATTTACAGCACATCTCAGTTTTATGTCTTCAATAACTCTATGAGGTTAGGGGACCTCTGTGTTGGACAGTTCAGGGATGATGCAGACTATGAAGAGCTTGAATACCCTATTGAGGAATTTACTATATCCTATAAATCTTTGATAATATGTAAAGTCTATCCATATGATGAATGTCATTTTGTCTATTAGGTATTGAAGATATTTATGGGTAGCAAAATAGTTAGCCAGGAGACATGGGAACATTTCTATTCTTCTGTTGAACAATTATGTCTCTTCAGGAGGTCTTTAAGGAGTGAATGAAAGACAAAGTCACCCTCAATGATGGACAGGATATTTACCCAATTTCTCATGGATCTCTCCAGGGAGCTAGGTTGGACCTCATGGAGAATGCCATTACCAAAGCCAAATAATTCTGAATGGTCAAGAAGCAAAGCAGCCTCAAAGCCCAGTTTAGGTTTCTTTCCAAAGCTAATACTTGGATCTCACTACTCCACAATGAGAAGAGATATGAGAGCATACACAATAAGAGAAACTGAAGGGTTAGTATTTGTGGGAGGGAGGAGTGAGCTATTTTCAGGTTATCTTCAAGTTGCAAGTCTTTTGGGAAGAATCTTCTTAAGTGGGAAATATTAATATCTTAAGTGAGAAAGATACTAGAGTTTTCCCCCACCCCCAATATCTTACCACTTAAACTGCATGTCCAGACTGCCCAACTTTTTTATTCCTACTGTATAGAGAAAAACAGTTCAAAGAACCACCCCTTATATTTGTCCACTCAATACCTGGTACCATGGCTTCTCCCACAGAGAAAGGAGTAATTTTACCTATTCTTTGGGAAGAAGTAATGAGACCCCCATGAGGGATGTTTAAATTCTAGCCTAGATGACAATATGAGTTTTCAGATGTATTTATAAATGTTCAAAGAATTTGAGAATATTTCTTGGCTTCAATGGGCGAGAGAAGCATTATTATTTTTCTAAATTTTGCCTCACAAATGGTGTAGCATCCTGTTTGTGAGGTAGGAAGACTATACATCCTGTTTCACATGTGATAGTTCTAGTTCATGCCTCCTCCACCCCCAGCATCCTGTTTAATCTTGCATTTATCACATTTTAAAAATGAATAAGTTATTAGTACTACTTGCATTAAAATAAGTCAGAATGGATTTATTTTTGCAGTTTGTACTTCTGGCTTCTGTCATGTTCTTATCCAATAGTGTATTTGAGATACATACACAGCGAATAGTCTCCCTTTAACAGGTCATTAAACCTTAAAGAAAACCAGTGATGACACACCTTTCCTAGTCGGCAGGTACTTGTTGACAAAACAGTGTGTATTGACAGGAAAAGCTAGGGAGAGCTGTATCTTTCTGGTTTTCACTAGTATTGAAAAAGTAGTCCATTCTGTTGCTGCTTCAAAGCATTTGGCTGACTCTAGAGCCAGTTAGGTCATGGCCTGGGTTGCTGGTTTCATGATGCATGAAGTCTCTATGGAAAATGTGGGAAATTGTATATTACTTGTCTGTGAAATATATGTAGGAAATAGAAGCTAAGTTGTTCTGCCACAAGACTCATAGAGAATAGTCTGAAATCTCTTGTTACATATAGAAAATTAACTATTATCTTTTTGAAAGATACCCTTTAAGCAGCAATGAGCTCAAAAATGAAACTGGATGTATAATATAAGTACTACATTTGCCTTTCTTAAGAGTGTTGATGATGGTAAATTACAAAAACTGATTTTCAACATTTACCATTTTTGATGAGTGCTGTGGTGGTATCACTGGAAACGAAATGCAAGACACAAACCTGATGAAGAAGTGTTTGCATCTATTTCAAAAGGTAATCGTTATTTTAAGACTCTGTACAAAGAAAAAACCGAACACATGGAGCTTTAGAAAATGCATTTTCATATCACTTTTTACTTTTATGAAAAGATTATTCTTATAAATTTTATTAATTTTTAATTTCAAGTTTTCTTATCCATGTATGAAAGATGTTAGAATGTTGGCTTCATTAGCAGAAGAACTTGGCAGAGTTAAATGATGTCAGTATTATATCGGTGCCATCTGATTCCAAATAGAAAATGAATTAATTCTGATAATAATTCTGTTTTTAATCTAATTTATAGAATTACAGTAATGCTTTTGAAGTTTATTTAGTAAAAGGTGAAATATTTGACAATTATTATAGATGTTACTGTTAATTTTTGGAAACAAAACTTCTAAATTGTGGTTGCATTTGTTTTGAAATTAATTGAAAATCTTTAACCAAGGATTCAATAACTACAATGCCAAAACCTTTAGCTTTTAAAGCTTTAGTGAATTGTGTTTATTGAAAATAAAGCAAACAGAAATATATTGAAATAAATCCCCACAAAAGCAAGGAGGAATGAAACAAATTAAACACAGAGAATAAACAGTATTAAGATTTAATGTTAAAATTATGTAATTATGCTTTGTTATATTTTGACTTGGGAAAAAAATCTTTAAATGGAGCTCATAGATATGGATTGGATTTATGTGTATTCTGAGAAGGCTTTCAGTTTGTGGTAGCCACATTTTACTAAGTATATATGAGTAAAAAATAAAAATCATTTTATGAATTTTGACTTTTAAACATATTTGTGAAAAAATGGTACTCTGAGTAGAGGTAAAAGATAGTATGGGGAAATATTTGGACTAAAACATTTACACATTTTAATTAGAAATCACATTGAAAATATTATTCTTTTGGTACAATTTTTTCTGAGCTTATCATGTATCTCAGCTCCTATAGTGAGAGGATTTACAGTAAGAACTCTTGTGCTGTACAGAGAGGAATCAACTGAAGAAGCCAACGATCTCAAATTTGTTAACTATAAAATGAAACATAGTATTTTGTTAGGGCAACCTGAGCTAAGACATGCTCTAAGTTTTTTTTTGTCAATTCCTTTTATCAGATCAAGGACATTCTTCTTTATTACTATCTTGTATGCATGAAAGTTCAGTTTTATCAATGTTTTTTCTACCTATGTTAAAATGTTCACATTATTTTTCTTTTATATGTTTACTTTTTAATGGTTATATTTATTGATTTGTTATTGAACTAGCCTTGCATTCTTAATGTAAATGATCTTAATCATAATGTATAACTATTATTTTAATACAAATATATATATTTATATAATATAAATTTTATATTAATGTATAAAATCAATATCCTATTTTAAATGTATTTCAACATATTCTATTATATTTAATATAGTTAATAAATAATATAATGAATTATCAACAATATTATGATATACAATATCTTATATTTAGTATATATTTTTAAATATTAATATATTCTATTCCTTAAAATTTTTTTTTTTATTTTAGCACATTACAGGGGTACAAATGTTTAGGTTATGTATTTGCTTTTGTCCCACCCAAGTCAGAGCTTCAAGCATGTCCATCCCTCAGACGGTGTGCACCACATTCATTAGGTGTAAATATACGCATTCCTTCATACCCCCTCCCATCTACCCAACACCTGATGAATGTTATTACTATATGTGCACTTAAGTGTTGATCAGTTAATACCAATTTGATGGCAAGTACATGTGGTGTTTGTTTTTCCATTCTTGGGATACTTCACTTAGTAGAATGGGTTCCAGCTCTATCCAGGATAATAGTAGAGGTGCCATATCACCATTGTTTTTTGTGGCTGAGTACATTTTTTTTTAATGTTTTAAAATTTCTCATGATTTTTGAATTTATGTTCATGGCAGACATTGGTCTATAATTGTATTCTTTTCTTTTCTTTCTTCTCTTTTCTTTTCTACCCTTTCCCTTCCTTTTCTTTTCTTTTCTTTTCTTTTCTTTGTTTTTGAGATGGAAACTTGCTTTGTTGCTCAGGCAGGAGTTCAGTGGTCCGATAGCTCACTGCGATCTCGAACTCCTAAGCTCACGTGATCTTCCTGCCTCAACCTCTCAAGTAGCTAGTACTACAGGTACACGCCACCATGCCCAGCTACTTTCAATTTTTTTTGTATAGATGAGGTCTTGCTATGTTTCCCAGGCTAACATTGAACTCCTGGCCTCAAGTAATCCTCCTGTGTTGGTCTCCCAAGGTGCTGGGATTAGAAGTATAAGCCACTACACCCAACAGCCTATAGTTTTCTTTCAATTTTTGGCATCAAAATTATTTTGATTACATAAAATGAGTTGGGGATGTTTCTTCTTTTCCTAAAATAATTTATATAAGATTGGTGTTTCTTCCTTATATGTTCCTGGTAAAGTCATACTGTCATAGAATTTTCATCGAAGAAAGGTTTTAATTATTAACTAAATTCCATTATTTGTTATAAGTTTATTAAATATTTCAATTTCTTCTTGTGTCATTTTGTTAAGTTGTGTTTCTTGTGGAGTTAGAAAATTTCATCTTATTTCGTAAAACAGTGGTCATACAATAGTTGTTAATAATATATCCTTATATTTTAATAGATGTAGGATCTATATTTCTTATATTGATTATTTATATTTATCTATTTTTCCTAATTAAACTTCTTGAAGGTGATTCAATTTTATTAGTTTTGCTATTGTTTGTATATATGATTATTCTCATTTATTTGTTAATTGCTGCTCTTTATATGTGCATTTCTTATACATTTTGCTGATTTTACTGATTTTTTGTGGAATTTTCTGAGTTTAAAAAATTCTTTAACTGTTTAGTATATGTTCATTTTTATGTAGATCTTTTTTGTGTTGATCTTCTAAATTTAGGAAAGTTTGTAAATTTTTCTATAATTTTTCTTTGTAGATAGAAATTAACATAATGTCTAGAGATTCCTATTTCTTGATATAGCATCTCTGAGATTGCTATTCAAGTGAATCATATATTTATCTTCGTATTTATGTTCAGTGACTCTATGTGGATATAAATATGTACAAAATATGTACAAAATTTAAAGTTTTATCAGTTAGGATCATTGTTTGAAGCCTTATAAATTGATTATGGCTACATTAAGCAGAAAATGAATTTATTCAAAGGATACTATGTAGCTCAATACGAAGGCTGGAGCACAAAGCTCACAAAATAGGCAGAAATCAAGGGAAGCTCTAGGGCCAAAAACAGTAACTGTCATACCACAAAACCCATCTATTAAACAAGCTGGTGCTAATCCTGAGAATAGAAATTGGAAGCCGTCTTTGATCCTGATGCCACTGTATACCAGATTCCACCATCATCTGACAGAATGAACTGCAATCTATACCTGTGTCATGCCTCTTATTCAATGTCCCAGGCAAACACATATAACTGGTTGAACCTGGACACTTGCCCATCCCCAGATGCCAAGGTATAGAGAAAACAAACATTTGATTTTATGGATTTCTTGAAGATTCACAGAGTATAAAATCTCTTTGTTTGATGAGGGTTCAAATTCTGGGCTGTCAAGTAATGTTGGTAAATGACCGTTTTAAAGGATCATCTTCTAGAATAATATAAATATGAAATTGTAAAATGTCAAACTTCTAAGGGAAAAATATATGTGTCACAAAACAAGTGCAATCCAATATAAGACAGGAAAGGGAAAAATAAATAAAAAATAAAAGAAACAAGATATCATGATATAGTAGATGTATACTGTTTTTGACTACCTGAATCAATTTACTTGTATGTTGATGACAGCATCTGGATTTGACCTTGAGGATAACCTCCCCCCCCATTCTAATCTCTGCAATTCAGGTAGGGATAACCCAACCCACTTGTTGGTGAGCCCAGCTCTGGGCTTGACTGGTCAGGACATTCCACCTCACTGGTAACTGAGATTACCTCAGGGTTGGGCATGTTACTCATGCAAGGCAATAAAGACCATGACAGACAATTTCAGAAACCACTGAAACAGAGAAATATACCCGTTTTAGAAAGGTTGTGTCTTTGTAATGGAATCTTCAAGCAGCTGGTAGTCATCTTGACCCATGAGGGAAGATACTGACTGAGAAGCCCAATGAGAGGGAAACAGAGGCCAGAGTGGTAGAAACAGATCCTTGATCATATTCATTGCAGTTAATTACAGTTCTGCTTGGATTGGGTATGAGTTTTAAGAAGAAAACTCTATTAATTTGTTAAAAGATACAAAAGATGGCTTTAATTACCAACTGGGTTTTATTTTTTCTTAAAAGAAATCTTGTAAGGATATTCTAAAGTTGATTTCAAAAAGAATTTGGATAAAAGGAGCCCAGAAAATTTGAAAACACATATGATGATTAATAAATGTCAAAGCATAAAGTAATGCTCCAGGAATTAAACAGTGTGGGTTTGGTGCTGGAACAAATTAATTAATGGAAAAGAAGAAAGTCCAGGGTAATTCATGTGTACATGGAATTATCTTTTATGAAAAAAACTCAGAAAAATGAACAATTGATATAAACAGGAAATTTTATGGAGTTAAAATGACTAATACATATAAGAAAAACTTCTAAATGCATTAGTAATCAAAGTAATACATAAAGAAATAATATTAAGAAAATATTTTTTCATCATATTATTAAAGATGAGCAAGTAATAATATCTAGTATTAGTCAGAATGTAATAAAATAGCCTTCTCATGTATCAAGAATTGTATTAATAGTAACTATAAGCTAATACAGCACTTTTGGAGGATAATTTGGCAGTATCAGTTACAATTTAAAATATGAATTCCACTTTTTCAGCAATGCCCCTGTTCAGATCATATAATGAAGATGCCCTTACTGTGAACAAACATATATATTTATTGCAGCATTGTTTGTACTAGCAAAAAATTAAAAACAACCTAAATATCCATTAAAGGGGGTTGACTTAGATAAATTAGGACATGTCCATATATAAGCTAC